GGCACTGGGCACTCACTTGCACACGTTGGGCTTGTAGCCGGTGTGGATGCGGATGTGGAACTTGAGGTGCTCGCGCGAGGTGAGCGCCTTGCCGCACACGTTGCAGAGGTGGTTGTTGTCTAATGTTGTTGTGGTTGAGTCTCGNTGTTGTCTAATGTTGTTGTGGTTGAGTCTCGCACCGGGCCCGGCACTGGGCACTCACTTGCACACGTTGGGCTTGTAGCCGGTGTGGATGCGGATGTGGAACTTGAGGTGCTCGCGCGAGGTGAGCGCCTTGCCGCACACGTTGCAGAGGTGGTTGCGCTCGCCCGAGTGCGCGCGCAGGTGGCGGCGCAGCGAGTTGAGGTGCGCGAAGGCCCGCGCGCACACCGCGCAGCGCAGCGTCAGCGCGCGCGCCGCCGCCTCCGGGTGCGCGCGCGCGCGGTGCGCCAGCAGGTACCTGGTGCGACGGACAATCAACTACTCGTAAAGAAGTGAAACGTGGGAGTCTGTTGTTGTTAACAACACCGATCAATTGACGTACTTTTTAAAAATGACAAAATGAGGCTCTCCCATATATTTTGTATGACAATATAAGCAAGTGACGTCACTATTTAGTCAACTAAATTAAAATTCTTTTTTTCAATCTTGGACAAGTAGCCTTACTCACGTAACAAAACTTCAACGACAACAAATTGCTGATTGCGATCCTATCGAGTAATCGTTCTATCGAAATAACCCTTGTGAATACGGATTTAGAACTGTTTTTCTATAGGACGACTTCTGAACGTCAGCGACATTTTGACTAGTGTCAAAATACGTGAATTAGGCCACAGGCATACGACTAAGCGACGCAGTCGTGTAGGTGCAAAGAAAAGGGGCAGCCACAGAATACAGAGTCTATGTATCTAAAGCTCTCTGTGTATAATTTTTTACTAGCTTTTGCCCGCAGCTTCACCCTTGTGAAATTTAGTTTGTCATATATTGTCATAAATTGTAGCCTATCTGGGGGCACGGCAGTGCCCCCACCAAGTCGAGCAAAAAAGCGGCACGGCCGCACCATCTTTTTCTCGAAGCAATTTAGGCCATTT